AATCGATGACTAGTCCAGAAATTGAGGGCATCATTTACTCTAGATTGGAATCATTTCAGTTAATAAATGCAAAAAGACGATTGAAAACCTAAAAATTTTCCACTTGTAAAATTAGAGTGTTATGACAGACCTCGTCTCAAGGCAGTTTAATCAGCCCTCTCATTCTCGCGAAATCGTAGGTACCTAGGTACAGTTCGCTCAGTGGTGCTGGAATTTTCGACCAACAGATCAGATTGGAACAATAATCCGTTTGGCTCATGAATATGTGCAAATAAAGATGGTAAAACGAGACTAGTAATTTTGAAATATAGATTTCTACAGGTAGGTACCTGATTCATTGCATTGTGTATAACTCAAACACCCAAGTAGCACAGAGCAATGAAAATATTGAAATTAAATTGCAATTTGATTTCAAGAAAATTGTAATTTTTTTACCATTAAATTGCAATATTTTCACATCATTTGGTCGACTTATGCCGATTTTAAACAATCGAGAAAATAAGCTGCATGTCAGAAAGATAGGCAATATGCAATGCAATGAAATATTGAAACTTATTTTAATTTTATTGCAGTAAGTTTCAACGAACGGGGCCCCTTCAAATAGGAGCTAGGCAACATACACAACACTCATTGGTATTGCAAAATTTTTACCATGTAATTGCTACTTATTGCAATCTATGCTACTTGGGCACCTACAATTGATTTTCTCAGTAATTGCTATGTCTGCACGTTAATGACACTTCTGCAGGCCTAGAATAATGGGATAGGTAAGTACCTAGCAACAGTTGCTAACGGATTAGAAGTACCTAGCTAAGGAACACGTAAAGAGTCACCTATGAACTTGCTCTTGGCATTTACAGAAGGAGAGGAACTGTAAAATGAAGCACAATAAACGTAAAAAAGACATGATGGAAATGGATAGGTGAAGGAAGACGAGAAAGAGGTGAGTAAAATACCTAGGAGTTACAAACAATTTTGCGATCATGACACCAAATCTGAGCAGAATCTAAGTAAGTAAGATATGTGCTAAAAACTTCTGACCTGAATCCAGACCAACGCCAAGATATACGTACAAACATCAAAGGAAGCGATGACCAGATATCAAACTCCTTCAAATGGTATGGAACAATTAATCAAATTAATCGTGGTAGGTAGATTTAGAGAGAGACGCGGACACTTCAAACGCGAAGCCGACACTATGGACACTACGTCTAGGAAAAACCGCAACGCACACATAGAAATACGCGGACACGAGGAACGAACATAACACCCGAATCCCCCCCTCAGACAGCACCGAACAAAACGGAAATCCCGCGCGAATGTGTTCATAGAGAAATGGAGAGAATCGCAAAGGCACACCGAAACACAGGAAACTACGAAAATTGGGGAACATTTTGGGCATTGCAGCTATAAATGACCCAAATTCAGTTCACACTAACACCCGGCATGAGTTTCCAAAATTTTCGAGAAAAAGGGAAACCCACAATGGCGGCCACCATCCGATTCAATGAGAAATTGATAGGCACGATCGTTTTCATGTGAATTGCTGATGAGTTTTCGCGAAACACACGAGGTACCAAGCCACGCACGGCAAATGTAAACGACGAAACGACATGAAACTATGATGCTCATAACAACTATTACTATGATGGTAATTTTGGGCATCAGTTGCCTTCATTCAGTTCACTCAGAAACCGGGCTCAAGTAAAGTAACTTTCGAGACTCAATCCAAGCGACGAATCACTTCACACGACCGTTTCCACAAACACCGAGGAATTTTCGCGAAAACAAACGAGGCGAAAGTAACGAGAGACGATATAATAGTTCTAAAAGTCTTAAAACTTTCCATGGAAGGAAAATTGCTTGCAGACATGAGGCCTTCACTCCGACCGGACGCGAGACTTCGCAAACCAACCCGAGCGACCACCGACTGAGAACTACGGGCTGCCGAATATGAAAGTGATGGATCTGCATGAATCGGCGTGGAGTGGGGGGGGCGCGGAGGTGACGTCTCTCGATCAACACGGATTGTGATTGGCTCGCGCTGGGGTGACTGCACCTGCAGAGTGTATTCTGTTCGTTGTTGGCGTCCAGCCGCGTTGCCCCGGCCTTTACTTTTCTTTTCCTTCGAGCACTGATTATCGGCGTCTGCAGCCCGATTTCAGACAGAGAGACGTCGGGACATCCGTTACCCCTCTTCCCCAGACCGCAAGAACCCCGTCCGCATTCGCTTTTCACTGCACGCACCGCCCGATTAAGTGAGCCAACGTCGTTTGATCCGCTTGCCTAGGATTCGAATGCAGATTTTCTGCTGGAAGTTTTCTGCGGAAGTTATCCGCTCTATTTTGCTACAAGAATAATGAAAATGCAATAATAGGTTTTTGCGATATCAATTTATAAAACATCCACGCTGATGGCTCTCCATAGTCGGAAAAATGCATAACTCCAGGGCCACATTTTAAGTATTTTATATTTTACATTGTTATAAAAACTCAGTAAAAAGCCTCTGATTTTTCTGCGAGCCTTCAATGCGTGGAAAAAATGCATAAAAACTTACATGAAAAATAATGGCTTATTTTCTCATAGAAAAATATAATGTGAGCGGGTCATTGTAACGTTGCAGTCAGAGATAAAGTAGCCATTGTTTTTCATGTTTATTTTTATTTATTTTTTTTTTTTACTTCAGCGAACGGTATATTTGGACTGTATTTTACGATTAGGAGATACAATTAATTTCTAGTTTTTTCGTAAAACCACTTATGTGCATAGGGAAACGAGTGGTGCACACGTTCTTTATAATAAACTGAATCAGAAATTGTAGTTCCGTATTGCCAAATGTAGTCCAAGGAATGAAAATTCAAATTAGAGGCTAGGAGGATAAGGCGCATAAGTGCAGTTTTTGCTATTTCGAGAAATACATGTTTGAGGTTTCGAAATGACGGCCAGGTTGGCCTAGTGGTCAGCGCGTTTGGCTCTAGGACGATAGGTCCCGGGTTCGAATCCCAGTAGTGGCGTCAAATTTTCATGGAATTGACAAGCAGATCTGCTGAAACAGATATTCCTCGGCCCTAATCCCTGAAATTGGGAAAGCCTGGAGCATGGAGATCCCACGATGTCTACAGACAATAGACATAGTCTAAAGTTGGCTGAAGGTGCTAGACACGAAGCCATTAAACCAGCAGGAAAAAAAAAAGAAAGTTTCGAAATTGCATGGATCCGTATGGCGGCAAGAAAGTTATAACTGACTTTTTGATGCTTAAAAATTGGCATTTGGGAGGGACTTTTTCATGAAATGTCCTTTAAGATTAGTTTTACTTGAAATCATTAATATATAAATTTTTTTCAAAAACTGCACTTATGCGACTTGTCCTCCAAGTTTCTCAAATAATATTGCAATCATCTTTGTATGGAGTTATTTCTGTGGAAAAGTCTAACAGTTCCGAGGAGTCTAATGGGGGGGGGGGCGGAAAAGATATGCTTGGATAAAATCGAGTAGGTGGAGCTTGTCAACTAAGGAATTGAATTCTATAGTTGACAAGCCCGCTAGAGATCGGGGGTACTATTATCTTAGAGGTACTATTATTATACTATTACTCGACCATCGAATAAAAAGACGGACCAAAAAAAAGAATAATATCTTATAAATATGCGTTTCAAATCTCATCAATTTTTGTCAAGATCACTTGTACACACAGCGTATTTTCAAACCGTATACGTGTGATACCACTATTCAAACCTCTAGGGGCCACTTATTGCCTATACATCTAATTGAAGGCGAAATTGAAATTCTCAAAGAGGAATGTGAATAGATCCTTGCAGCAATGGTCAAAAGTTTCTCATTATCTTTCGGGCTTTCGACTTTTGAAAGAAAGATTTCAAGAGTAAAAACTGTTCGATAAGGAACTTATGAGAAGAATTTAGATCGTAAAGCTCTGATAAATAAAAGAAGAAGGGGCAGAGAACATCTAAAATGTTACAGCTCCGATTAGGAAACATGAGTTTGTCAGATATTAGTTACTGTTTTCCTTACACAGGGGCGCAGCTAGGAAATTTCTCGGGGGGGGGGGGCATGGGACCACCTCTCGTGGTGAAGAGAGCGGGGGGAGGTGAGGAATGGAGGATCCCGTTTTTCTGGGGGGGNGGGGCCAGGCCCCCCCCAGGACCCCCCTAGCTACGCCTATGTCCTTACAATGAAATCCATTATGAAAGGCTGATTTTTCCAGATGAGTCGGCTGTCTCGATAACTTGCGTTGCCGATTTGCAAAGTTCAAGGCACGATAAATGCATTTAGAACATTTAGGCAACTTAAACGTACGTTATAATCATTCTCGCAATACCGACATTTTCGTATCTATAATAATAAACCCCCCCCCCCCCCCCCNCCATTTAGTGATTTTCATAATTTTACCTGCTAAATTAAATTTCTTTACCCATCACTAAAGCACCGCTTTAAAATAAAATTATTTTACTACTACTACTTTTCTCACATGTTTCCTACGTTGCGTTGAATAGGTATACAACATAAAAAGACTATATTAACAAGTAAGGCGATGACCGGGGGCATTCTTATACGCTTCGCTCCTGGTGAGATAGTCCAGTAAACGAAGGGAAAAAAGAGGGGGTTTCATGAACAAATTAGTAACAAGCTGATTTTTCCCCCCATTGATAGTACCCATTGAGAGGATCATTTTCCCAAAAGTCCCCATCCCTACCCCCCTAGGGATTTTTGTTAGCCCCCCTCAAAGTTGAAAAATCCCCCTCTGATTCAAAGCGCTATAACTCAGACCCTAATGTAGCTAGACACCTCTAATTTTTTTTAAAATGTCCGTCTTGATATGCTCTTTAAGAACTTTTTAATAATCATGCAAATTTTTCCGCGGAAAGCTGAAAATTTTTAAAAAATTCGCAAATTTTTAGAATTTGAATTGCCTCTTTTTCACAAAGAGCNGCTGTAGTGGGGGATTCAACATGGCGGCCATACATGTGTTTACCCGCTCAACCCCGGCCGGTGCTTGTGCCCGAATTCCACTTCGCTCAATTAATTTTAATTTATTTAATTATCAGCTGTCAAAACTGTCATCTTCTTTGCTCATTTAGTAGTATTTCATCAATTCGAGACGAAGATTTAACCCCACGGGCCAACGAAAATCAAGAAGAAGCCATGGGAAGTGCGGAGAAACCGAGTTTTAAGTGGATCTTTATAGGTATGAGTGTATGAGTCGTTTTTCTGGTATTCCTCTCAATCGCCTCTCAACTAAATCGAGGATTCCCCTATGAGGACGTAGTGAAGTTCCCATAATTTACGATGTTACAACAGAATTCGACGGTGCAAGTCGGCAATCACATAACTCGTTTGCGTCATCTGAAAATCTCCGCAACTATGTTATTTTTTTAAAGGAGAACAAATGGACATGATTCCTTGCAGTTTTTGCAGAATTTTCCTCGCACATAGAAGAAAAATCACGACAGTTTTAAGGAATTACCGTTGAGTAGTTTTCCGTTTGAAGAATAAAGTATGACAGGAAGTCTGCGACGTCGCAAATCGAGTTATGTGATTGCCGACTTTCACCGTCGAATTGTCATCAGACTCCTGTGCAGGAACATGTCTTTTTATCTGTCGCTGGACTTGTCTTGGAGACTCCACTATGGGCCAAGATGTATCTCTTTATCTCCTTTTATCTTATCTAGTCAATCAATAAATGCAGACCGGTTCTTGAAACTCTGTTGGTACGCTAGGACAAGATGAGGAATGTGTAAGCTTTGCGCTTGGAAGACCTTGATCCCCTAAGTCTGGACATGCCGGTAAAGTGTTTCAATGATCGATTCCTGTGTGTGAGACTGAAGCTAACACACACACTGTGCTCACACTGACACTGTGCTCTGAGCACAGTGAAGAGTGTTTTGCAGGTTTTGTTTCCCAATCCCCTGCAGTCATGTCGTTTCATCTCTGAAGGAAAGAGTTAGTTTGCCTGCATGTACCTAGTCATGCAGTGATAATGAGGCCAATTACATTGTTTTGAAAGCTCACCTAGACCATTTCTTCCTTGCGAATCGATAGCTTAGCCTCTGTTTCACCTGATCATTTCTCTTTCTTTATTCAATGGGCCAGTTGCGCTGGTAACAGAATCATGTTTTGATGCTTGGTTCTAGTAGATCAGCTCTAAACCAAAAGATCTGTCCCAATAGCAACTCTCTACCTCGAGTTACCGAGATTATCCACCTTGAAAAACTCAATTTATGATGTCATCCACTTCGGTAGTGCATAACATGATACGTCCTACCGCGGTGGATGATGTCATAAATCGAGTTTTTAAAGGCGAGATACCTCGTTTAATATTCAACGTGGAAATTTGCTGTTTGGCCAGATCTTATCATTTTTAGTTGATCTGCATGAATGAAGTATCATAACACCATTCTGAAACCAGCACGACTGGCCCATTCTTCCACTTCTATGTTATACTTCCATTGTTTCAAGTCAAAATTTTTCGCAATTACCTGTTTACTCTGCTATCTAGAGGTGTCGTCAGCTAAGTTGGCACTTGTTTACATTCCACTTGCTAGCAATTGCGATGTAATTGTCCAACAGCAAGAGGGGATTGACGGCAGCCCGATCGTGAGCTTAGTCAATCCTCGATTCCTGTTGGACTACTACATTATAGTTGCTCGCAAACGATGTGTATTCAAGTGCCAACTTAGCTGGCAACACCTCTACCTCAAGTTAGCAGTATTACTTCTGATAGTTTTACACGAGTTCGTCCTACCTCTTGAAGGCACAAAGTTATTTGACCAATTTTATCTACTATCCACCGTCAACCTTCTCTGGTATTGAATCGATCAACACTCAAGAATATTTATTTTCGGTTTTCAGTGTACTCTCCGTTTTTAATTGATTAGAGTGGGTATGTTTTCAAAACCATTCATTTCTCTAAGTTCCATGTACAACAATGCTTACTTGCCAAGTCACATTTTTATGTCTTTGATGGTTTTTTGCACAAAGGAGTCAACTTCT